GGGTCCGTTGTTCTCAGCTCTAGGTGGCAATCTGTCTATCGCGTCTTCGACCATGTTGAAGTCACCTCCTACCATGTCTGGCTTGCGGACGTTCGGATGGCTTTCAAAGTACGCCTTAATCGCGGCCCAGAACGCCGCGTTCTCTCCCGGTGCATTCGGAGCGTAGACACCCAGAATTGATAGCGGTGATCCATCTACGTTTTCCATTTCCGTTATCATTGCTCTTCCTGGGACAATTTCCCTGGTTCTTATCGTTCCTGTTTTCACCATATTTTTATTTAGGACTATTGCGACTCCCTTCGCATTTGCCGACAGCGGGTGTTTCGTGAAATCGACCCGCAGTACTCTCCCAAAGAGTTTATCAATGGCGTCTTTTCTTTCGTCGTCCATGTGGGCGTTCCAGAATTTTCCATCCGGGGGCAGTCTGGTTCAATTGTTGCCAAGGGGGTCCAACGATAAGAAAATATGATATCACCTACTACCACTTCTGCTATATCTTTCTACCCAGGTGTCCGTTTCCCTCAAAGATAATGTTCGAGGCATAATATATGTGTTCCAAATGTATCCCTCGATTTAGACTTGCTATAAGCTGAGGAATGGAAGCGGAAAAAAATCGGTAGCATTTTTGTCAGTACGGGGGTCAAACGTGACAGTGTCCGCCGGCATCTCTCTAACTCTCGCAAGAGTTCTCCAAAAAATATGAAACTTTGACAGACCATTGGATACATGTTGGAGAGTGGTTCTGTGAAATATCTAAGCTAATGGTGGCACAGAGCAAGAACCCGGCCTGCCATCAAAAAACGTTGTCAGAGGGGGGCCGATAATAGTATGTGTCCAAGAAGATACGTATCAAAGAAATGATGGTCACAAAAAAAGAGCGAGGCTGAGGTATGGGAATGTGATGTATAGGAGGCAGGATAGTGGAATATATAGCGGATCGCTGCCAATCCAGCGCCAGTCTTGGTCAATCGGAGGATTCTACCCCCGTACACCCCTACGCGCGAGAAAAAGAGCAAAACACCCGGACCCTGGCAGGAATTGAACCTATGCGTTAATATAGCCTATGATGCTTTCGAGCCACTGTCGAATAAGGTGTTCCGAGAGTACTGGTGCTGAGCTCCGTGACGCTCATCGCCATTCACCACCATACGATATGAATATAAAGTGTCGATGTGAAACGCCATACTTCATGTACTGCACACAGGATAAGCTACCAACTCGTAAGCTGTGTATGGAACGGTATACATCGGAAAAGTAATCAGTGAAGGGAGAATCCAGTCCTCCGCTTTCCTATGGCACCGTTCTGTTTCCGCCTCCCCAATGATAACTACGCTCACTTTTGCTCACGCGCCTGCCTGTCGATTTATGGGGCCAGCGTGGGACAGTAGTGTAGGCCGAAACGAATGAACAATGTGCGAGCCCTTGCGTGGCAACAAGAAGAATTGATGAGCTGAATGGTGGACGATTTACTGCACGATGTTGTCAGGGCTGTCCGCAAAGAAGTCGCGGGCATAATGCCAGAGTGCGGGGTCGATGGCGCGCAAAGTGCCCTCGACCGCCTTGCGAGATGGGCGGTAGCGAACCTGGGCCGTCGTCGCGTCTGGGTCGTCGTGGTCGGGCTCATGAGGGAGGTTATTGAGGAGGAGCGTGAGCAGGAGTGGGAACTCCTTGGTCCGCGCGTTGTTCGTCAAGCCCTTTACGTGCCAGAAGGGATCGATAAAGACAACTGGGCCGAACTGCAAGGTGTTCAGAGTCGCCGCGGGGGAACATTCGTGACATACCGCCTTGTACAACGCGACGAAGCGATTGCGCGCCGTTATCTCGGGCTCGAGTTTGTTGCGCCAGAGGCGGTAGCTATCTTGGTGCTCGTTTACCATCTGCTGGTCGCGCTCAGCTGGGGTCAGCGCCTGGAAGAAGGCGCGGTGGACGGGCAGATCCTGATAAGCAGCAGTGTAAAAGGCCGCCTTGTCGCGGTTGCTGTTCTCGCCGGTCATGGTGAGCCAGTCGATGCCAAAGGAGGCGACGCATATGTGCTCGAGGATGTGCTGGGTGCTGCGGGCCGCATGGGAGACCTCGAACCCCTGCTGTAGAGCCTGGGAGGCGGCGATTCAGTTCGAGGATGGAGATGGAGTGGAGAGGGCATACACGTTGGTTTGCAGTGAGCCGGGCCGCGAGAAGGAGGCGGTTACGCTGGTGATGTGCCGCAATTTCGTCTGTGAGCGAGGCCTGTGCCTGTTGTTTGAAGAGTCGGCCCAGGCCTTTAATCTGGAGGCGGCGGTTAGTGGGCAGGCAGGTGCGGACGAGATGGGCGCCAACCCAGGCGTTACTGCCGGCTGAACCGTCATGGCCTCGGACTAAGCGTTTGAGGGCGGCGTCCTCGAGTTCACGGCGGTCGCCATGGATGGGATCGGTGATGTGGCGGACGAACTCGTCGACATCGATGGCGGGATGGCCGGCGACCGCCATGATGTTGCCGAAACGCTTCTCCGCGCGTTTGAGGCGGAGCGCCGTCGCGTTGGTCTGGAAAGGAGTGAGGGAGGGCGTTGCAGGAGACGAGGAGGCGGCCCCACCGCGGGCTTTGCTGGCTTGTCGGGAGCACCTTCAGCGTCGCCGCCATCGTCGCCGCCGTCGTCCCCGTCGCCGTCACCGTCGCCGCTGCCGCCAGCTGGGGGCGGGTTTATGATGAGCTGAATGGATTGGGTCGCGTCGGTCGCGGCTGTGCGAAAATCGCTTGCGTTGGGGCTGGAGCCGTCGAGAGTGAGAGGGAGGTGCTTGTTGAGTTGCTCAAAGAGGGTGAGGACACGCGCGCGACGCTCAGGGAGTGACATTTGAGAGGGTGAGCTGGACATGTGGATCGCGTGAGGTGCGCGGAGGATGTTTGGTCGGGCTGTGACGCGGCTTCGGGCGACACCAATAGAAATCGTGTTCGGGAGGATTTTTGCAAGAGATGGTGCCGGGTAATCCCGTCGTGGCATGGCCACGGTCGAAGGGCGACCCCACTCGCGGTGCGGCGGTGAGTATGTGTACGATTTGGGATTCGCGATGCAAGGCATTTTGTTATCAGATTTCACAACTACTTAAGCAATGGGTGGAAGACGGTACAACAAGGGTTAGAGAGTGGATGGTATATGGTGCATAGCTCAAGAAATTCCAAGAAGGATTAGAGGGCTTCAGATGGCGCGTGGGATGGCGAAGAATCGAAGGATGCTAACAGAGGTAAGCTTGTGCAGGGAAGTGGGTCGAGAGATAGACGTACCGGACAATGTCGGCGAGTTGTCGAGGGCTGGAGAGGCCGGGGAGGGTGCGCAGGAGCTCGGCGACGAGTGCGTCGAGGGGCGCGTAGAGGGTGAAGCTGGTGTGGGGGTTCATCGTAATTCGGCTGCTACTTGTTAGCTGGCTCCGCGGAAGGGGAAGGAGAACGCACATAATTAGGGTTGGGTCAAGGTTCGCAAGCGGGCCCGTGGTGGTAAGGGCGAACCGAGTTTGGGCGCCCGGCGCGCCTGCGATGCGGCGTAAGTCGCGGATGCCTGCGGCGAAAAAGTTATTGACGGACAGGGCTTGGTTGAGAGAGGGACTTGCTTTCGGGCAAGTATGAGGCAGATGGATGGCCGGGGAGGTACTGGCGGGGCTGAAGACCTTTGAGGCCTCGGATCGACATGGTGATGATGTATCTGCGCGGAGGGTTGGGGGGAGAGCGCGGGAGAGACTGCGGTACATACCCACGTCTCGGGGGCCCGCGGACGAGGTGTAGGCCGTGGGGGCTTGTGCAGGGGGAACGGAGGTGGACAATTGCAAGGAGCAGGCGCCGAACTCTGGAGAGTCGGTTGGCCCACGGCAGGGGTGCGGGAGAGTTGCATGCAGGAGACGTACTCTTCGATGGGCGTCGGCGGGGACGAGGCGGCGCCGGGCCAGACCACGAGAATACACGCCATAGGGAGAGATGAAAATTTTAGATGGGGCGTGTTTGGTCTGACGCGATGTGTATTGAAAGTAGGGTGCACGGGGCAAATATATTCGTCGTTTTCGGAAAGCGTACAGTTGACTTAGGTAGAGGGATCAGCAGTGGACGCAGGGTAATATGGCTAATACGGTGCAAGGGTGAAGAACGGGTGGCGTATGGTCGAGTTTTACTTGGATGCACAGCTGCAAACCTCGAATTTACGGTTTGGAAGGTGCTAATATACAGTGGTGATAGTAGATTTAATATACAGATTTCAGTTGACAACGCCGCACCGTCCGACTAGTATTCAACGAATCCCGTATCTAGTTGGTCAGATCCTCCCTGGGGAGCGAGCGGGGCGCGTGTAATTGTTACAAGAATTGAATGCATATTTGAAGTGAATCGGGGACGATCCCAGCACATCGAGAAGAGCCCAGCAGCTCCGAGCAACTGGCAGCAGAAATCGATTCCGATTTTTCTGCTGCTACTGGCTGTGGTTTGCTGGCATCTGTTATTTTGAGCGCGGTCATTCTCAGCAGCTGTCAGCGGTGCGCAGCAGAGCTCGTTCTCACTGAGGCTGAGATCTCAGACGTCGGCGTCGGCGGACGAGCTAAGTAACGTGACGGTAGGTAGATCGGGATCCTGCAGTTTTTCTGGGGCGCTAGCGCAGGCCGCAGGGCCTCGGGAAATGGCGGATATCGGGCCGTATATATGGCAGGAGAGATGGATATTTAACGGGCGCGAAGGGCAAGTTGCTGGAGTTTTTTTTAAAAAAAGAAAAGAATGGCCCGACCTCGAGTCGAACGAGGATCTCCGGATGGAACATGTTCAACGATTTAGTATAGTCCGGCACAATACCAACCCTGCTATCAGGCGATATTTATTGTAGTCTAGTTGCATTTAATACGGCTGCAGAGCAAAGTTGTAAAAGTGAAAAACAATGGCCTGACCTGGAGCCGAACGAGGATCTCCATATTTATGGCAGTAAAGTTGAATATTTAATGGGGGCGGAGAGAAAGTTGTGAATGTTAAGAAGGTCCCAAAAAAATGAAAAATTGAACGGCATCACTGTGAATCGAACACAGGACCTTCAGATAACCCTACAAGGGAAAAATAACAGTTGAATCTGCTGCTCTCCCAACTGAGCTACGATGCCGGTATGGCTGCGCGCGGTGGTGTCCTCTTAGGCTTCAAGTGAAAAATGTTCGCCTGACCTAGAGTGGAACGACAGTCAGAGGCGCCCAGGAGGTGTAGTCCAAAGGATGGGCCTCGTTTTTGGCCGATGGGAATCGTCGGCGAAATTGTGGACGGCATAGAGACAACGTGATTTGGACTATGTGATTTCGCCGACGTGATCCGTCGGTGAAAATCATCCCACACCAAGGGAAAACAAAAAGAATCGACACTGGCACGATTCGAACGTGCGCCCTACAAGAGGAACAGATGACTACGAATTCGAATCTGTCGCGTTAACCACTCCGCCACAGTGCCATGATGGAACGGATGAATTGCGGAATAGAGAACCGGAACAGATAACGACTGATTCGAATCTGTCGCCTTAACCACTCGGCCAAAGCGCCACAAAAAGAGTTCAGAAGGCAGGTATAACAGAAGGCCAGAGGTACGAAAGTTTTTTTCGAACCGGAGATGTTGCACGTGCAAAAGTTCCGCTCATCGTGACTCTGAAGTCCGATCAGGTCTCAATCTGTCAAGGCCAGTGAAGAGACTGCCAGTCACATATAAAAGCGGCTGAGCGCAAGGGTCCTCCACGCAGTCTCCTCCAAACTTTCTCCGAGTACCAGTGTTCTAGATAGCGCTACATTGTGTATATTAGATACATCCTAAGTAGATCCAAATCGTTCTAGTTGTGGCAATCTTCAAAACTTCGACACCGGCAGATCACCCCACTGCACCATCGGCCCTGGATCCACCGACGGAACCAACCCTTTCTTGAACGCCTCCACGTCCGTTATATATGTGACGCCTGGGCGAGGGACGTCTTCGCCCTCTCCGGGTATGGGATATTTTGCGACCAACTCAGGGAGTACACTGAGGAGATCTTGGCCACCCTCCTTGCCGCCGATGACACCACTCCAATACTCGACAAAGTCAGGCAGCGAGGTGGGTTCCTCGCCGCTCGGCGCGTCGTTCCACGCAGTTTCGGTCAGACCATCAAAGGCTTTCTCGCGCACTAGCACTGCAAAGGCCTGGGCAGCAGCAGAACTGACTCTGGGCAGACGAGTTTTCTGCGACCGCATGTGGACAGAAAGCTTGGCTCGTGTCTCGGACGCCGGGTGCACATCGGAAAGGAACATCTTGAAGACGTCTTCCTTGGTCACGTCTTCGAGGAACTCGGCGTCTTTCTCGCCTGCATACAGCGGTCAGAATCGTTGCCTCTAAGGTCAAGTGGGGACAACGTACTGCGAAGGAAATCCCACTGTCCGTTCGTCACGTGGACTGCGAACCTTGATGCTTCTTCAGTCAGATTCTTCTCCGCCTCTGTCCACCGCTTCTTCAAGCTCTCTTTGTGCTCTGCAAAGTCTTCCGCGCTCATATCCTCTATAACGGTTTTCATCCCCTCCAAAAAGGCTTCGACGCGGTCCTCGAGATACCCCGGCGTCTTCTCGCTCTGTACAACAATCCGAAGCCCCTTCTCACTCTGGGCGAGCAGCCACCCGGAACATGAGACGATGTATCCAAGCTGCTCCTTGGTACGCAGTATGTTGAACGCGGGTTCTTGGAGAATTTGGGTGAGAACCGACGAGGTGACACGGAGGCGCTGGTTGACAATCGATCCAAAATGGACGTAGTAGCTGAGTGCAGAATTAGCCTGGTTGGGATTGGGTATTGTGGATGTCCATGTGTAGTTGGACGCTGCCAAGACTTGAGAACATCGACCGGTTGAGTATTGAGAAAGCTTACCTCTTGGGAGTATCAACGCATGATCAATTAGTTCACTTGGAGGCCGCTTGGACGGGCCTAGGCCCTCTTCGGCCATCTCCGCGATTTTGACTGCCTCCTAAAGACGAGAAGTGAGGGATGTTCACGCCAAAAAAAAACGCTGCTCTTACGTCTTTGTACAGGTTGCCGCACACGAGTATCCGCATGTGCACTTCCGAGAGCAACAACTTGATGTGTTGCTGGAGGTCCTCCACCGTAACAGCTTCTCGAGAAATCAAGATAAAGATCAATATCTGGACAGAAGGACAACGTACAAGGCAGCTCCTCCAGCAGTTTTGCCACTGTCCACTGCTGCTGTGCCATCATATAGCGCCCGTAGTAATCCGATAGAACATATGATTGTCCAAGGAAGAAATTCTCCAAATCTCTTTTAGCCTAGCAGAACGTCAAATTAGAATCGAGCGAGAGGCGAACTATTTGAACGAAATACCTGTTCTTTCATCACCGCTAGCCGGTCAGCACTGACGACAATCCCCTTGATCTTCTCCAAAACGTGCTTCACAAGGACGGACATCTTGTCATTGAATCCGTTCATTGCAACATATACGCCGTTGGGATGAGGAAGGAAGTTGTACTCCAGCATGCCGAGGGATGCATCGTACGCAAATTCGGTAAGCGCATCGTTCACGATGTCGGAATACAACCTTTGAGACCATTAGGCTACTTCAAAGCACAAATGAACAATATGGACGTGCCTTGTCAAGATTGCTGCGCGGGGGGTCGCGTTGCCGAACGGACTGGTAAATATTAGACAGGCGGGACTACAGTAGCCTCGCTCGGTCGCACCTCCGGAGATCAATTATAGCGTGAGCTTTGGGAACCCAGAATTTGTCGTCCTTCTTATGCCACAAAATGGACAAAGGGGTCTCCCGGATGAGATGTGGACGCTTCAGTGGCTAAATGTAATGTCAGACCTGACCCCGAGCCAACCAGTGAGCATATCACTCACCTCCGCAACGTCGCGTTTGTCGACTTCCACGTTGGTAGGAATAAACTTGTTCGGTCCCGGCAGATAGAGCTCCTTGATGTCGTTGGGACGTTCCGCCTGTAATACAAGTCATACACGAGCAGCGGCGATACAGATCGCGGCGGACGCACCTGCCGGAGGAAAGCATCATCGAATTTCTCGACATAATACTCCGTACCATACCACGGCTCCTTCTTCCAAACAGCGTTGGGCGCGAGCTTGATATGCTCCGCGCCTTTCGCCATCAGGGTGGTGCGCGCATTCTCTGCACGGAAGGCGTCGAGGTATGCGCGTACCTTAGCTTCGCCACCGCCCCCGGGCTGCGCGTCGCTATCCCAGTCCCACGTCAGGGCCTGTGCGGAAAGCACAAGTTCGAGTGGGACAGGCCGGGACAGATGCTCCGCGACCCACGTCGCGTAGGTGTCTGGGCGGCCCTTCTCCTTGAATCGAAACTTGGTCGTTGAAAGCGTCACCAGCTCGCGTTGGTGGAACGCCTCGAACTGCGACTCCCGCAGGAGCGTGAGAAATTTGAACACCGCAAGCGAGACTTCACGATGGTTCTCTACCGCACCTCATTAAGAATACAAAACTAGGGAGTGATTGACACGCACTGAATCCGTCGATGGTGAGATACACGGTGACCTTGAACGTGCTGAGGCCGCGAGCAAGATTCTGCGGACCGCAACTGAGCGTTGTGATCCACCCCTTGCTTTTGAGGTACGAATGAACCGAGCCGGGACCCTCATGGCCGACAAAGTGCGAGAGGAACGTCGCGGGTTTATGGCGCCAGAACGGTGGCTGCCATTCAAGCGGGAACGCAATCTCGAGGCAGTGGAAGGTCATGATCGTCTGGATCGCCACAAGTGTCTATACGGACACTTGAGTTGGCGAATAAGGATAAGAGAGTAAAGCAACACACCCCGCGCTCGTCGGGCCCTACTGGCGAGGAGGTGACCATGGGCAGAGGGTCAGCGCCACGATTGAGGATGGGCGAAAAGAGTGTGGAAGCGAGGATTGCCAGTTCGTCGAGGGAGTCTATACGGGCGTCAGAGGTATTCACGGGTGATGTGCGAGCGCTGACCGTTGCCGAGGACGCAAAGACGCATTCTGCTGGCACAGTATTCCTTCGACCACCATTCCATGAGCCGGCGCCGAGTCTCGCGACCAACAGCACCGCCGTCCGCCTCGTCATTGCTATCAGCAGAGGAGATGGATGGGGCTGGAGACGACAGGCGCGACGGGATGGGAGACGGAGCGAGGAGACCATTTTGTGTATCCAGGCGCCCTTTGGCCTTGAGGCGCTTGGCGGCCTCTGACAAACTCTCACGGTTACCGCTCCCGAATTTGCGCCACGGATGACCCTCGACGCTGAGGTGCTTGTTCAGCTGGAAAATGCGCCACATATCCGCCTGGTGGTTCTTCTTGTGCTCGGAGTCGACGGCATTGAGCTCACGCGACGTGCAGGATGGGGCGAAGAGGGGCGAGTGGAAGAATCCCGCAAAACGCATAAGGGCTTGCGAGAGAGCGCCGGTAGCTACATTGAAATGGTAGTTGGTGTTCGATGTCGACGTGTAAGCGTTGGAACTCCCGTTGTTCTTGGCCAAGAACTGGGGAAAGTTTGAGCTACACTGACACGTAGCATGGGGAGCTGCTGACCTCCGAATACTCGTTCTCGCGGGGAAACTCTTCGGTTCCCTAAAATGGTGTTGAGAGCTTGCTTGTACACGGGTAGGGATTGGACCCACCATGAACAACAAATGCTCGCAAAAGTGGGCGAGACCAGGCATGTCATCCTGCCATCGATTAGGGAAAAAGCAGACGAAAGAACGCGTGTTTTCGTACTGGATCGTGCAGATGGCCTACAGCGACATCCAAGCTGGCAGCGGCTTTATCTGCCTTGGCGTCGTGTACCAGCATTGCCTCGAGTCCATTTTCCAAGCGGATTACTCTGTATTCTCTATCGTCTTGTGGCGATTTCTGAAGCGGCTTGGTGAAGACGGAAAACGGAGGTGCAGACGTAGGGATGACGCGTTCCCAGTCTGGGATTATGGCCATTCCAGCTCGGAAACTGGGAGCAGTCGATGTGGATGGGATGGACAAGGACGTGGCGAGACGAGAAGTGAGGTTAATGGACTGTCTTAATCTCAGCAGCATCGACCCTAGCAGTCGCTATTGTTCAGTCCGCACGTGAGCAATCCAATAAGGAAACGGCGTCCCCGCATTTGGGTCGCGGCAAACGTCGCAGGGTCAACTTTCGTGCTTCAAGATACCTGTCTAAGATCAGGAATATCCCGAGACACGAGGGTTCAAGGGAATTATCTACTCTGCCTCTGGGAGACTAGGTCGCATGCAATTCAAGCACAATATTCCGCCCGGGAGCTCTCGAAAAAATACATTCAATGCCGCGTATTATCCAGCTTGCTACCTTATTTTTCCTGTCTACATTTGAATACCGGCTACTAATTTATCTAGAGTCAGTCTTTTAAATAATATCGTACGAAGAACCCATCCGAAGGGCCTCTACCTCCTTCAGCGCATTCATAGCGAGCGCCGTCGTGAGACC